ATAGAGGGTACGATTCTAAGAACAATGGTTAACACCTCAGTTTTCTATAATCAATAGTTTCATCAAAAATGTGGATGCAATTTTTACAAAAAGTACATCTTCACTTTTTCCTTTTGTTTTTTTTTCAAAAATGGGGGTATTACTATTTTATACAATAATAAAAAAAGTAAACACTATTACAGAAAATTGATCATTCATAGTAATCAACATACCATACCTCATTTACTACAACTAGAAATCCAAAAATCTATTTACAATAGTGAGACATATTCCAATCTTAAAACAATTAGCTTAAAATTTAAAGATAAACAAGAAAAATGAATGAATTAATCATAGAACTCACTTTTTGTATAAATTAAAATAGTCATATAAAATAATTATATTCTATATTATTTTAAAATCAAGTAATGCAGATATTGAAATGAATTCTCAATAGCATCATTTATATATATTACAATCAATTCCAAATCTACACAAAGTCTGAACTTCTATTTTCCTGAAATGCACAAGATACTTTTATCGATTTTGCAGTATATAACTTCAAGTTAGAGTAATAGAAATTCATTATTAAAAATAAAAAAGAATATGCAAGCCCATTTTTAAGAGAAGGAAGCTCTAGCTGACATCTTTGGTCATATAAAAGATGTAGATGAGCAAATTTTTGGTGTCATATTAGAAAAATTAAGAAAGGAAAAAGTTTAAGACATCATTGAATATCTTTCAGATAACAGGAATCAAAGCCAAATACAATCATGTATCTTACAAAAAGGAGTTGATATCACTCAGGCTGATAAAGAATAGAAATTATTTGTTGTTAGAAATGATATCATATAAATCACAAAAGTCTTAAGAAAATTAAAAGACCATTGCTTAAATAAGAAAGATTATTCCTCTGAAGAAAATGAAGAATCTACATAAAATCTAATTAAAAGTATCAAGGATAATAGATGGATCCTTGAATTTCTGTAATTTTTAGTTCACCTCACATCCATTGATGAAGCTTTTATATAAGTTGGGTCAAATTCTTTACATTTATTAGTTTAGATGAAGGTGGACCTTAGAATGAAAAATTTTGAAAATATTATAATCTAAGACACTTCTTTGATTGGTGCAAATTTTGTTAGTTGTAATTTAAGTGGATCTTAATTCAAAAATGTCAACATAAGTGGAATAAATCTGAATAGAGCATAATTATTTAACTGTAAATGGAGAGAATTAAAAATCCATGAATTAAATTAATTACATGGCCATAGTGATTACGTAAGATCAGTTTATTTCTCTCCTGATGGTAATACATTAGCATCTGGTAGTTTGGATAATTCTATCCGTCTATGGGATGTCAAAACAGGATAATAAAAAGCCAAATTGGATGGTCATACTAGATATGTCTCCTAAGTCTGTTTCTCTCCTAATGGTAATATAATATCTTCTGGTAGTAAGGATGGGTCTGTCTTATAATGGGATGCTAAAACTTAAAAGAAATTATCCAAAATAAATGGTCACGATGATGCTGTTACATCAGTCTGTTTCTCTCCTGACGGAAATACATTAGCTTCTGGTAGTGAAGATAACTCTATCCGTCTATGGGATGTCAAAACAGGATAATAAAAAGCCAAATTAGATGGTCATA